CGTTGTAGACGCCTAAAGACCGAACGGTTTAACGGTTTAATCGAGTATTAATCGTTCGAGAGGAAGTTTTTTTTGTTTCTTTTTCTTCCTTTTTTTTCAGTTCTTTTCTCTTAGTTTCTAATGAGATAGACCGTGACGGGGGATAGAGCGAGGAGGGATATGCCGTTTCGTAAACGATCTTCGTAAACGAAAGGTATCGTTTGCAAGCGAAAGAAAAATGAGATCGCCCTTTTCCGTCGTGCATTTGTAGGGCTGTGCGAGAGAACGCTACGAAGGACCCTTCTCGTTCCGATCAATTTTCTTTTTCCTCTTGACGTCCTTCCGGCGTCTCGCGCGCCAAAGGGAAATTAAAATGTTTCTAAACTCGGACGTCTGTTACTCGAACGAAGCGTACTTTCTCTTTCTCCTTCTCTTCTTCTTCTTCTTCTTCTTCTTCTTCTTCTTCTTCTTCTTCTTCTTCTTCTTCTTCTTCTTCTTCTTCTTCGATCGAAGGGAAGAGAATAAAAGGGAGAGATGAAAGGTTTTAGTTATTAGCCGAGCGTTCGCATTGTAATGCAATCTACGATAATCAGACGGTTTCGTTCGCTTTAACCGAGACAGAGGAGAGACGATCCCGTTGGGGAAGCAAATAAATCGGTTTGGAATCTCAACGATGGCTAAACCTTCCAGTTAAGTCGTGACGTCTGCCGAGCGAGACGCGTTTAAAATTAAATCTAAGCATAGCCGGTAATCTATCAGAGACCTGCTAGTTCAAAAGACAGAGTTTGTTCTTACAGTTCGACCTTGCCGCCATTCGTTGCTGACATATTTTCATCGATTAAATATGTAATCTCAAAAGTTTAATTAATAATACAATCGATGCGCGTATAAATGTTGGAGAATAACGTAGCGTATTAAAATCCGTTGATCGGAAAGAGTAAGTTTATCCGTCGAAGCTCGTTCTCGAATGTCCCAAGGATACGAGTACGTCTCTTTTCCTCGGAACCGAACAAATATTTGTTGGGTCGCCTCCCATCGTTCCCTGTCTCTTTGGAGTTCTCTCTTTAGAGAGGATTTAGCAAACTACGGAAATCTTAGATGCAAACAATGATTTTTTTTACAAGACTATCGGCTCTCGTGGTTTTTCGGAAAGGAACCTACAACTTGCACATACCTCCTTCGAATTTGATATTATATATCTTGGAAGGTACGTTTCATATCCTTCATATACGTTTCCTATCCTTCCGGTTTGAGGATCACCGGTAGCTATTTACTCGCGAAATTAGCTACGTTCCGCGGTCAATGGAGAAACTCCATTGTCTTGGTACTTCGATGAATATAATTTCGAGCGTTGCACCGTATATATCCATCAACGTGGCCTTAATCATCTCGCCGAGATTAAATTGAGTCTGAGCTTCGAGCGAATACGTACTCGTGGAAGATTAAAACGTACTCGATGAGAGAGAAGAAAAGTTTGCAATTTCTATATTTAGTTCCGGTTAAAAGTTGCTGACTACTCTTTATTCGCTCGACGCTGGGTGATAGAACGTCTCTACGGATGCCAGTGATTGCTCCGTATTTGCGATATTCTATATTTTATTGGCTTAAAGCTCTCTACCTCGTGAAACGAAATTCTAGTCCAATCGTGGCGCGCGTGCTTTACGTACTACCGGAACTCATTTATACGCGGACATCCTAAAGAGACAGAGACAGAGAGAGAATCTCGGTAGAAATAATATCTAATAATAATAACGATCGAATGGAAACTATATTCGTTTGAATGGAAATGAATTGAAATGGAAACACGATTATTATCTAACGTCCCATTTTTATTCGAAACGAGCAACGGGAAAGCAATCGTTGGTATCTATCGATTACATCGACGAAATAACTTTGTTTTAGATTTATGAGTGATTTTGAAGCAACGCATCAAAGTCAACGCACAACATGTATCGGAATATGTGTCGTTATCAACGAACACGCCAAAAGGCCGAAGGTACAAAAGCGTAGAATAAAGTTTTCAATGGCGATGACACCAAGTGCAATCGTACTTTTGGTCTTCTTCTATTCAGTACCGCACACATAGAGAACTATCGTACATGTAAGAGAGCAATTCGTGCGATCGCAAATGACAGTGGCACTTTTACTTTAGATCCGAGCGTAGCCTTCCATTGTTCCACGCCCTTCCATTTTAAGCTATACACATTCGACGTTCTGACATTGACTTCGATAGTTTAGCGTTTCGATTGATACAGATATATATATATATATATATATATATATATATATATGTATGTATGTATGTATGTATACATAAAAAATGAGGAGATATCATTATTCTACGTATAGGACAAAAAAGAAAAAACAATCGCACAAACGTCGAGGGAGACTTTAAAAAACTCGTCTTGAAAATCTCTCGAGCATAGCTAGCTATCATCGAGTTGAACTTTTAGAGAGGGAAAGTAACTCTATAGGAATGTTGCGACGAGCACGTCGGTCCTCTGATACGCAGAAAACGTTTAGATTACAAGGGCACGGGCTAGGTAAACCGGAGCACCTCTGTGAGCTTCGTATACGCATCTACATATGTACGTAAATATGCGTGTGTCGATGTATTCAAAGGTGCAACCCTTTCATTAGCGCGTAGGCCACGCGTTCTATTATGCCTGACAAAACATCCGATTCCATTGTCGGCGAACAATGTACGTCGTGGTCACGTGTTCCACTTTCGATCATTATTCGCGAAGTGTGCATAAAATTGACAAATTGCTCGCGATTCTCTCTCTCTCTCTCTCTCTCTCTCGTTCCATATCGCGAGGTTGCACGAGGGTGCACGGGCGAGTGAGAATTCTTTTCACGCGACGTCTTGACGCCGTTGACAGCTGTCACCGGCGTCGAGTTCGTCCTTCAAAAACAAAGATCGAGGAACGAGAGCGTCCCTCCATCGTCATAGTAGAGAGAGAGAAAGAGAGAGAGAGAGAGAGAGAGAGAGCACCAGTAGTCTCCAAATCCGACCCTATGCAGCTTTACGCACAGTGTGCCCTTTAAATCGTCGATTTAAAATCTATTCCCGCTACTCGAAAACTACCGAACGGTGAAATTTTAACGACGTAACCGCTCACCCGAATGAAATTATTTAAGACGCGATATTGGCCACGAGAGCTAAATTCTTCCATTTTTTTATCTCTCATTTTTGTTCTCTTTTTCTCCTCTCTCTCTCTCACTATTTTTGACACGGACACGACGCGTGCTTCGAAGAGATAAAACGTTCGCTTTTGTCTACTCTCGGTCGTCTTGAAAAACGGGCATTCAGAATCAGACAGTCGCGATCCCTCTTGATGGAAGGAAAAAGGGTCAAATAGCGAACGAGAACGGTAAAGTTTTTTTCATATCTTGTCCAAAGTCAAAGCCACGAATGAAGAGAGAAGATAAAGAGAAACGAAGCGCGGTCTTGCTCACTCTCATTCTCTCTCTCTCTCTCTCTCTCTCTCTTTCTCTTTCACGTGTTTTATCACAATAGGAAGAGAGGTCCCGTTGAGTGATACTTCCGACAAGGCAATCCACTGAAATAGATGAAGAGATCTTCCTCGGTAGCCGAGCACGCGTCAACTTTTGCTTGTTGCGCACGCGTGTGTGTGTGTGTGTGTGTGTTTATAGATATACGAGTAGCATTTGTCTTGAGATGTTGTTCTTGTTTTGCCATTTACGCGAGATGATCTCAGAAACGTGACAATAGAACGCGTAATTAGGAATTAATTGGAGCGAGCAATCAAAGTTTCAAGAAGATAACAATTTTATTCGATATTTGATTGAGATAAAAATTCATCAAAGTGTAGGGAAAGATTCGAATTGTTTCTCCTCAAGAATCAAGATGATTCTTATAGAGAAAGGTTGGGAATATATTGTAGTTAGGAACTAGAAAGGCAATGGATTAGAGGTTTTCTCGAAGAAAGAAACGTTCATCCGTGAAACGGAGAGTTAGGATTAAAAGAAAGGCCGAAAAGGAGAAATAAAAAGTGACCGAAGGTCGGTCCGGTAACGTAAACGGACGCGACGTGACGGTCGAGGACACGAGCCAACTCAAGCTTCTATTTCAACTTCGGGGGTGATAAATCGAATCTTGGAATTCTACCGTGGGCTTAACCCGGATAATCGGTCGAGACAGCGTGCTCGTTGCGTCTCGTTACTCACCGATGCCATATAAATTGTCTGGATTGTAGGCTAGCGGAAGTATTACCGTTAGACAAATCTTTTTTCTATTCAGGTGAATAGTCAAGAGAAGCAATTCTATTGAATTTTCGAATATACGTAATTATTTACGGTCATATTATCTTCCAACGGGTTCGAGGTAATCCATAGGAATCATCGAAGAATAAGAAGGGCGATTTAATCGAACGAAGAAAAGAAAAAATACTTTATCGATATATTTCGTATACGAACGAATGATTTTCTAGCGTGACGAAAGATTTACTCGCCTTCGTCACGGTTTCAAACCGTCGTTAGATTTATTATCGTCGTTGCGTGAGAGGAGTCGCGTCGTCTCGATTTATTTCTCGTAACGCAACGTGTCGACGATGACGACGATGATTACGAGAAAGGCGCGGGAAAAACTCGAGCCGAGTCGAGTTACCAGCTCGGCCCAGAAATTAAGGACTCCGCGAGCGATTAATTTAACGCTTACCCGTGTCGAGTCATTCGCGTTCGTTCTCCCCCAACCCGTGTAGATTGGATCTTGAAAGCCCAAAGGCATCGTACACGTCACGATCTCCCTGGAAACGATCTCGTGCGAGTACGACGTTTTCATCGTATTCACCGACGACGCGACCTATTCCTACAATACGTTCGTTTTCTTCCTTTCGTTCCTCGAACGAGTAAACGAGTACCTTAGACGTATGCAAACTTCTTTGCGGGGGAGACAAACGGATTATGCGTCGATTAGCGTGCCACTTGTTGTAGCATATCTTGTTCGAGATACGCCGACGGCAAGAAGAAATAAAACGTCGTACGCGCGGATTACTCACGTTTAACGCGTCGGACGAAGCGTATTATCGAGCACGTGGCGATGATGTTCCTTGGTTGAGGCAGGACGATGAAAGTCGATCAACAGGCACGTGTAAACTTTTCTCCACGAAACACCGCACGCCGTTTCCTCTTGGTACTTCATCAGAAATTTACGAGATGTACCTGATCTTTGATCCCTCCCTTTCTCTCTCTCTCTCTCTCTCTCTCTCTCTCTCTCTTTAATCTCTCGTGATGGATATTTTGAAAATCTTTTTTACGGAGCGATATTCTGTCTCGAAAACGAAGACAAAGATCGACGATACACCGAGTCGATGGACTCTCTCGAGCCAGATCTTTATAATTAGAATCTCGATCGAGCCAGACGAAAGATTTTATTTTCTCTCGTAGTAGATATCTCGATTCTTGTTTTTGAACGCTCGCAAGATCGTCGAGACGCGGCCCCTGTCTTTCGAACTCTTTCGAAAAAAGACTGAATATCGTTGAGGAAATCACGCGATCTCTTCCGCGTTCGCAAAAAAGATACGTCAGTTGCGCGAAATCCGCCGACCGACAAAACGTTCGTGTCTTGAAACGGAGCACAGTCACGAAGAGACGGATCGACGCACGCCCGTCCTATTCTACGCTCGCGTGATATATTTATAGCGTCAAAATGGAGAAGTCCGCGTGTAAATCGTCCATGACACGATTTTCCGAGGCGATGCTCAAAGGGACTCGATGATTTACGAGAGAGATCTCGTCTTTCTTTTTTTTCTTTTTTTTCTCTTTTTCCTTTTTTTCTTTTTTCTTTTCGCAAACGCAAGAGGAACGGACAGGGTCCTCTTCGCTCGACGGTCAATGACAGAAGTGCATCGGATGGCTTAAAGACCGGCGCACGTAGTAGACTCGGACGGGAATCGTCTTAATTAGGTGCGATTAACCGAGACGCGGCGGTGCAAGTCTCGAACGGACAGGCAGAAGGAACAGAGAGAGAGAGAGAGAGAGAGAGAGAGAGAGGCCAAGAAAGAAAGAGAGAAATGGCTAAATGGAAGGAGAGCGAGACGTTAACGGAGCACGCGAGTTACTCGGAACTACGAGTAGTCGAGAGGCTGCGACTCGTTCGCTTGGTGACCATCGTAGCACTGAACACCGAGAGTAGAGTTCTCTCGAGCGAAGAGCGTAGGGCTTCGGCTTCGTGTATTCGATCTCCCTCCCTCGCTCCTCTCTCTCTCTCTCTCTCTCTCTCTCTCGCCTCACCCCCTGTCACCTCCCCTTTCTCTTCATCGCACTATTTTGTTCGCATCTTTTTCTCCCGCGCTAGCTCGACCTTCCACGTGTATGTTCACGTGGTGGCACGCACACGTTCGCCCACGTGGTTTCTGATGTTAGTTGGCATCAGTCGAAAAAAATGTCAGGACGATAAGGACGCTGATTCTTTCGCTACGTGCAAACTGTGCATCTGGTTTCTGCTGTCAGTTGGTGTTTAATGTTACGAGACACTCGAAAAGTTAGCGTAAATAAAATGTAAACATTTTTTTTTTTTTTTTTTTTTTTGAAATCATAACGACGCAACGATATATTGGAACTTTTGCTTCGTCGTTTCTTTTCCTTTTCCCTCTTGTCCGTCGAATCATTCCGATCCAGCGTTTTATACGCCGCTTTTTACGAAAGCTCACGTTGCCATCAAACAACTTGTTGATATAATTTCTGTAAACATACTCGTATCTCAAAGTCCTCCAAAGATCCTTCAGAACGTATGTTTACAAAATTGTAATAAAATTGAATGATATCTGAGCATATAGATAAGAGTACGCGCGATTCGATCCCGTCCTTGAATGAGATTTGAAACTACGTATTTGCAATAAGGTTGTACGGTGTTTTTGTTTTTTTCTCTTTTTCTTTTTTCCTTTCTTTCTTTTCTTTTTCTTCTCCGCTGGTTTATCCTTCGTTCGTCTGTGGTTGAAAATAATCGAGTAAACTCGGCGCGTCATTACAATGACATCGCATTCCGATCCACCAATGTCACTCTTCCATTAAAATATTCGATATGTCGCGTTCGATCATTATCTTTGTATAAGCATGTTCTTTCGAATATACTTATGAATGCGTTGAATTATACGTTAATTAGTACTGTCGAACTAGGTGAGAGATGCCTTGGAGTAAAAAGAAAACTTTCGAAAAAGTGGGAAGACGAAAGAATCCTTACTTTGCCTTAACTCGGGTCGCGTCTCTCGGCATTCTTATTTTTTACGAAATGCCTAAACTTTTCGATCCATCCTTTAACAACTTTCTTCGCTAACGATCGGTTAAAAGAGTTTTAAATACTTTCGATGAGATCTCTTAGAAAGATCTGGGATAGGCGACAAAGTACTCTTCGCACTCACACCCCTATTTCTCTTTTGTACAAGAGTGTACACTCGATAATTAATTTTTCGAACGCTCTTCTCTCTCTCTCTCTCTCTCTCGGGGATATAGGATTAAGGAAGAAATCGATCAATGATACGACGAGATGGTTTAAGTTAGGCCGACGAGAGGCCGTCGAGTTTATAGGCCGAGAGTTATCGGAAAAATCACCGGCGCATTCGTACGGAGCAAAACACTTAACGATTTCACGAAGCCTCGGCCCACGCATCTCGAATCAAATATAAATGCAAATCTATGAATACTCGCGTATAGAGTCGAAGCGCCGCGCCGACGGAGGCCGTGCATACACGGCGGTTTGACGCAGGGAGGAATTCTGAAGCGCGCCTCCTCGCTAATGCAATCGAATTTCGAGGACGTACGTACGTACGTACGTACGTACCTATGTCTCCCAGTCGTACTCGGCTCGGCCGTTAATTTGATTCACAAATGAGGTCGTTAATACTTTTCTCCGCATTAACGTTCCCGGGCACTTCCAAGCGATCGCGACTGTTTTCTCGCAACCTCCTCTGGCTTAACACCGAGACGAATCCTTTTTTTTCCTTTTCTCGTTCTTGCGCAATCGGATAAAATTGAAAGAAGAAGAAGAGAAAGAACGGACGTTACGTCATAAATCTTGAAATCTCCATTGATCCGGCTCGGGATCGATCTAGACGATTACGCCGTGAGAAAACTGCTAAATGGAATTCCATTAACGGCCGTTAACTCTTTGCACGCCGATCGAATGACAAAACGAGAGAATTACACTGTCTCCTATACTGATATGTATGCGCACCTGTGCCCATTTACTTATGCGCACCGTGCGTCTGGCATTAAATGTCTTACAACGAAACAGACGCACGATTTCCGACGCGGAGACATTTTCAAGGATCTCGAAGGACGCCAATATCCTCCCTTGCCCGTTCGACTTTCCTTCCTTTCTCCGCTCGTTAAATTCTTTGCTAACTCCGTTTTATCGCTTTGTCGCGAATATCTGTCTTTTTATCAATGGGACGAGAGAAGTTTACTACAACGAAAATCCTTAGTACAACGTGTTTGTAGGCACGTTTACGTTATTTTTTCCCTACGACATCTGAAAAACATGTGCTCGCGAATTCCCATAAGCGAGTCCTTTTCTCTTTTGTCTTTCTTCTTTTTCATTTCTTTTTCTTCCTCTTTTTTTCCTTTTTACCAACGATAACGATCCCTTATCGTTAGAGACTGGATGGTTCGTTTCGTAGAATAGCAATACTTCGATTCGTACGTACTCGTCGTTCGGAAATGAATTTTTAATCTCAATGCCGTTTAGCTGTTTGTGAATAAATAAGACCAGGGAAAGTATCGAGTACGGATTCGTTCGAATAAACGCAAAGCTTTTTATCGCAGCTTATATATGAAATAGCTAGTACACAGCGGTTAAACGTCATCCGACTTAACTCTCTATTTCTTTTATTACGTTTTTTCTTTCCTCTCTCTCTCATCCTACTCAGTCCATTCCCAGCCGCCACCGAAAGAAACTACTCTCGCGTCTTTTTACCTCTTTACCTCATTTTCGAGATCGGTCGTAGGTTATCGGTTTTCCGGGACTCTGTCGAAGAAGTTTCGAAAAAGAGCAATCCCTCGGGGTAGGAATACTCTGCTCGATTTGACGGGAAGAGCGAGCCGATTTGCTCCGGTAACGAGCGCGCGCGGTGATTACCTACCCTACCTACCTACGATTTAAAAAAGAAAACTTTTAAACTTTCCTTTCAACTATTTCCGTACGTTCGTCCGATCGAAAATCGGTCGTTGCAAAAGTCTCGTTAGGGTTAGGGAAAAAAAGAAAAAAATAAAGATACAATTAATAGATAAGAGATACGAGTAAACACGTATCGTAAAGGATAGTAGCATAGAGAAAAATGCTTATCGACTTATGTCGTAAGAAGAAAAGGAAAAAAAAAAAGGAATAACGATAGGTTCTGTTTGATTAAAAACGAAACATAAAGAGGCATCCTTAATTTGGAAGGAATGCTCGATAGAACGGAATAACTACGAGGTTAGAGACTAACCTATTTGAAGAAGGAAAATATGAAAAACGTTGTGCTTCTTCTAGGATGAATGGGGAGGGCTGGGGGGCGGGGGGACTTTGGATTCTAGAGACAATATTTGTAGTAATAACATCTTGACGATTCCTTATACGCGTTTGAAGAACCTGAAGAGCCTACTCTACCTCCTGGAACGCCTTTCAGCGCCTCGAATAACGTCGTCCCTCGACGATGTTTGATTTGATTTTCTGTCTCGAAAGAAGCGTGACAAGAGTCTTATAGCGACTACGAAAGCTTGACTACTCCTACGCATTTACCAACACGAACATACGGTAGCTTAATGTGTGTACTTTTATTCGATTCGACGAAACGCGTCCTTCGAAAGGATCGCGTTATTAAATTCGTTCTATCTATCCGGATTCTAAGAATTCTTCGAAAGTTAGAGGATAGTAGTTGTCCACTTATCTACGAGAGATAATTACGACGTAAAGTTGGTTTTTTTTTTTTTTTTTTTTTTTTCCTATTTTTACTTTTCTCTATTCGAGCACCGGCCGAAGCGTAATCTCGTATACGATCGTTAACGTTGACAATTTTACGAACGACTGTGGAAAAAAGGAAGAAGCGGTTCTGAAAAAGGGAGGACCGGAGAAAAGACCCTTTTTCTCACTTTCGTATACTTTCCGCGTGTAAACGTTCTCCACACGCACGTGACGTTTATACAATATGCCTCCATAGAACGCATGCCGGTTGAATATTAAGTGCTCTCTTTCTCTCTTCTTCTTCTTCTTCTTCTTCTTTCTCAGCTAACTTAAAAAACGACTCGCTTTTAAATCATACGTCCTTAACGTATGTATATCGGGAAGAGGTCGACTACTTTTAGAGAAACGAGAGACACGTTACGAATTTCGTCGACAAAATCGTTTTTGTTTATTTCCGAAAGTAAACGAACACTTTTGTATATTACCTTTGATTCGTTGAACGTTAAGCGCTGCCGAGTAGACGAACGATCGCAAACCGCGAAAAGTTACTCGGCTTGAAAGGTCTACCGCGTCAAAGGAATGGAAAGGCGTGTTAGTTCTCTCAACAGGCATAACTTAGAAACGTATGCTGATGTCCGAGAAGCAACCTGGACGATGAAGTCGTACGATTTATTATGAATTTGCACGCCTCTCTCGGGTCCGTATATATATATATATGTGTGTGTGTGTGTGTGTGTGTCAGTGCCGTCGAGGAGAGGCAGGTGGTGGTGCCGCCTTTCGCTGAAGCTTCACGGAAATTGTTAGTACTTTTCTTCCGTATCGTCGTAAATTCGCTTTTTTGATCGAGGCACGACGTACTTCGAGCAATGCCATGCAAATTTTTACATTTCGTATCTCTATCTCGTCCGACTTGATTTTCGATCATCTGTTAAAAGTCGCATTTAAAAATGAAAGAGAACGTGCTCTAACCGAGCACCTCTCTCTTTCCTTCGCAGAAAGGTGCTACCTAAGGGCAGCGACATAAAGTCCGGCGGCTTGCATCGAGAACATTTGCGAACGAAACGAGGACTCGCCAATATATTCCTAGGCAATAAAATCGATATAGCCCTTTGTCCCAAGGAATCATCGATCAACTTTCGCCCGACAGACGCGCATTATGTTACTTTACTGCCTGTTTAAGAGCCGCAGTTAAACATTCGTAGGAGCCCTTGACCTCGCGCACTCTCCTCGTTTGCTCTCTCTCTTTCTCTCTCTCTCTCTC